CCATTCCCCGCTCCGATACCCCCATATCCCTCTCCCCCGACACCCCCTCACACCCCCAGGCCGTTCCCCCCAGTGTCCTCACGCTTGGCGGGCACATCCTCGCCCTGACAGCGCAGCTCGAAGAGCCCCAGCTCCCTCAGCACCGCCTCGGCCGACACCGGCTCCGCGTCCGGCTCCGCCATCGCCGCGGCGAAAAGCCCGCGCGGGCGCGACACCACCGCGCTTTACGGCAACGGGGAGGGGACGGGGGGATTTGGGCGGGGCATCGCCTTATAAGGAAACGGGCGTGGCGGTGCTTGAGCGAAGAGGCGTGGTTATGCAAATATTGAGGGTGAGCCAGCCAACGGGATGGGATGGGCGGGGAGGGGGCGTGGCCGCGCAGCCCTCGCTCCCCCCTCCCCTCCGGAGGGGGGAAAAAGGCGGGAATTTTCCCGCCCTCCCGGGGGTTTCCTCAGAGCGGCGTCTGACGGGGACCGGCACCAAGGGACCGCACCGGGCCCCGGCGGGGAGCGTCCCCGCTCCGAAATCAAGCTTTTAGAACATCCCATGGAGGTCCTGGGGGAGGGGGGCACCCATGGGTGCCCCGGAGTCTTCCTCACCTCCACTTGCTCGTGCTTGGCATCCAGGAACGGCCCAAACTGCGAAGAAACGATGAAAAAAATCAGAGAAAACCACAATCCGGGGCATCCCCAGGTGTCACCAGCCCCAAAACCCAAATTAATTGTGTTAAACCCCCCAAAAAAGGTAAATTTTAAAAAATTATTCTTATTAATGAAGCTCAAATTTTATCCCACAACCCCAAAACGGTCGGGGCAAAAGGGGAGACCGATCAAAGCAGCAGGAAACCAGGATCTGGCTCCTGGGGTGCTCAAAGGGCACGATTCGCTCTAAAAACTGGGCTTTTTTTGTCATTTTAGGGTAAAAAAATGGACGTTTTGGCACTTTGGGATGAAAAACAGGTGGTTTGAGCTCACGCCCGAGCTGCCTCTCTCCCCACACGGCGCTTTTTTACGCCGATTTTTCAGGTTTTGAAACCTTGACTGCACTTTCCTGCTGTGGTATCTTGTTTTAGGATATTTAATTGGTTTAATGAATGTAAATAATTAGTAAATTATTTACATTCATTACCCCCCCCCTCACCAGGATGCAGACGTCGGGGCGGTCGCGGGCGATGACCTCCAGGAGGTCGGTGAGGGGCTCGTAGGTGATGCTGTCGGAGGTGGTGTAGGGTCCACAGGCCACCAACACCATCCTCTGCTCTGTGGGGACAGAAGGGAAGGGTTTTGGGGACAAAAAGAGAGGTTTTGGGGACAAAAAGAGAGGTTTTGGGGACCCTCTGGCCTGACAGGAAGGTTTAACCCCTCCCGGCTTTAAACCTCCGCGGGGAAAGCTCACCTGGGGCCGGCTCTGTGGGGGTGTGGAAGGGAAGTGGCACCCCCTGCAAATAAACCAGAAATAGCCTCAAAATCCTCCTTTTTCACCCCAAAAAAAGAAATCAGCCCCCAAACCCATCAGTGGGGCCAAAGTCACCTCGTAGAGCTTGGAGACCACCATCATCCTCCCGGTGCTGTTGGTCCCCTCCAGCGCCACGACCTTAAATGTTGGGGGGGGGGGAGAGAAAAAGGGGTCAGGCTGGGATTTTTTGGGGAGGAAGGAGTGGATTTTGGGGGGTGTCATCCATCTCCCCCCTTTTTTCCTGCCAAAAAAACCCCACCTGGCCAGGAAAGAGGGAATATTCCTTCAGCTCCGAGAGGTCGAGGGGGATTTGGCCGCCGGAGGAGTGTTCCCTGTCCCCCTCCAGCACCACGGATTTGGGGTTGAGCTTCCCGTTGCTGTCGCAGCCGATCTGTCCCAGCACCGTCACCGGTTCCTGGGGGAGAAAACGGGGTGAAAACCCCCATTTTTTTACCTCAAACCACCCTCTAAAAGTGGGTGACACCCAGGGGGTTTCACCTGCGCCGGGAGCAAGACGGAGGCAAAGTCCTCCAGGTGATGGTGGCTCTTGAGGGCGTCACCGAGCTCCTCGATCCTCCACGACAGCACTAAAAAAACACCCAACCCAACCCCAAAACCTTAAGATTACCACCCAAATCAAGAGGTGGGGGGGGGTCGCCCCGCACCCCCCCACCCCGGTGTCACCTTCCCGGACGTCCAGCGCTTTTTGGAACATGAATTTGTAGCTTTTTGTTAAATTTTCTTCTGGGGAACCGAAAAGTTGGAGGGTGCAACCGCCGCCGCCGCCGCTCCAGGAGGGGCCCTGGATGGAGCCGAACGAGGCCACCACCTCCCCCCGGCTGCTCCGGGAGGTGTATTTTTGGGAGGGGGTGACACTGCGGGTGACACAAAAAAAAAAAGGGGGGAGGTTGTGATGATGAGGACAGGCGGAGGTGGCACCCCCCCCAGTAATCCCAGTATCCCCCATTTACCCGGGGGAGAAGCTACTGGGAGAGAAAAGGGCGTAGGGGCTGCGGGAGGAGAGAGTGCGCTTGGGCCGGGGGGTTTCCGGGGTGGAATTGCTGCGTTTTTGGGAACCCTGTAAGAAAAAAAAATAAATATATAGAATTTTGGGAGGTTAAAAAAAAAAAAAAAGGTATATTCGGGGGTTAGAGGGGTTTTGGGGCAGAAAA